AAAATTATGCTATATTATTTATTACATGCAGTCGTTTTTATCAAATATTGTAAATACAGCCTTCTAACAGTTCTGTCAATAACAATGTTATAATGAGTGCTGTTAACTATGCTGACTCTTGTAGTCCTAGCTAGGATTGAACTCCCATCCTTGGCTAACAAATTTCTGACGATATTAGACTCCTGATCCTCAGCTTAATGGATCTAAGCAGTAGCTTCTCTCCCTTCCTGCCAAATTGGATTTAACTATTAGACATTAAAGTTTACTGAAATTTTTTCTCAAGGAACATTTTTCCATTTGTCTGGTAAAGTGCTATCACTCAGTTTATTGAGCAAGATCTTGTTTTAACAAATATTCATGTACAGAATTTTTGTACTTACAAATATATTAATTCTATCAGATATCTATTTGCATAAGTATATTTTGTTCGTCACTAAATAATACTTATTAGCAACCTGATAAGAAATGAAGAAAAAAAAAACAAAAAAAAACTTTTTTTATTGCAACACTTGAAGCAAGCAGAATTTTTAATACTTTCTTGTCCAGGCCAAAAACTTTTTATCACTCCCTGGTAAAATAGCTTAAATGGTGGGTATTATCAATTGAGGATTTAAACTTTTTTATTTTATTTTATTTTTTTTAAAATGGTACAGGCATCATTCATTCAGGAGTCTAAATGACTAATGAGATTATGTAATTTTCTGGAGTATTTGCCTGCAAATAAAGTTGGAGGAACAAGCCAAAGACAGTGTTGTGACTACATTACATACTTGAAGAGAGACAAAAATGGTGATATTTTGGTATAAAGACTATACATTTTCATTGTACCTGAAAGGTTCAAGAGTATAACACTGTTAACATGTTGCCTCCCACACGACCCACCGGAATGTTGTGGTGGTATGTCTGCAAGGCCAACCCAACACTCCAGTGTGTTGTTTTCCAATTTCTTTTCCATGAGGAGTATTAGGAATGGGATGCTATGATTGATTACTTATGAGATCATGATACACCAGAACCACATTTTTTCCAGAAACATTTAAATATTTTTTAGTCCTTTATTTGATTTTCCTTTCAAAATTTCTGTTATTTTTTGGGGGTATTCGTTTTATTTTTTTACATACACAGAGCTGTACCATGTATTCAGATAAACTAAAAGATTGAGTAAACAGAAAATTTAATAGGCAAAAATGAAACTTAAAAAAAAAAAAAAAAAAGAAAAAAGTATACTTTATTTACTTAGGAAACCAAAATAATGCCTACAACCAGTAAAATAAACACAAGAATTCTAATCTAATAAAAATCACATTCCTAATAAATAAAAACATTCTAAATGTCTTGAAACAATAGAAAAGAAAAAATATAAAAGCACATTTCTACACAACTAGAAGATGAATTGATACTTAATTTATGTTTCTTATGACATATATTGAAATACTCAAGGCAAAAGGAAAGATTACATTCAGATTCAGCACAAAATGTATTTACATTTTTGTTTTATCAGCTTCCTTTGCACTCATTGTTTTCCTTGTTTCACTATAACAGGATTTGAGATATAGTGTTAGGAACGTGGGACAAGTGAAATGTGGCTTGGGAGGCAAATAAAATTATTATTTAAGAACAAAATATTTGTGTATTTCACTTTTATCTTTATTTTTATGTAATTAAAGAGAAAATAAACATAAAAACTACACTTAAAAAAATGGATTTTCTCTTTTTTACCCTATTTGGCAACATTTTCCTGTCCTTTAAGGTTTAACGAAGCTACTGAATTTAAAAACTCTTCAGTCTTTCTATCAAGATCACTGATTAGTCTAGACATTAGCCTAAAGGAAAAAGCAAAACACTAGTCATTTCTGGTATAATTCATTGTTATACTTTTGATTCTACTGAACAGAAACTAATAATATAAAAATAACAAAACTTTTTTTTTTCTATGGCTTATCAACCCTTTAAAGCCAGAAAATATTTTGGATTGTAAAGATTTTATTTATTTATTTATTTTTTTTTTTTGAGATGATTTAGTGATACAAGTTTTGTTAATCAACCCATAGCTGGGGTAGAAGAGGTGGATTCATACCTTTCCCAAGGGTATTTGCATGCAAGTAAATATAACAAACCCAATGGGAATTGAAACTCTACTCTCCAGTTAACAATTGTGGGCCATTATCCATTATACCACATACAGCACCTGGTATTCCCAAGCAGTCACCTATCTAAGTACTGACCAGGCTTGACATTACTTAACTTTGGTGATCATATGGGAACCAATGTCTCGATGAGAAGTGGCTGTAAGCAAAAAAAAAAAAAAAAAAAATCAACAATAGTTGTATTAATCATTGAATTGTGTACGACTAAACTCTTGTTTTTACAAACATTTTATTTAATAACCAAATACTAGCAGAAATGACTGAATCTCAAGAGTATGCAATTTCAAATAACTCCACTTTGTTTTACATTTTAATGCATTCTTCATTCACAATATAGGCATATTCAAATCTAAAATTTTTTATTTTTATTAAAAAAAAAAAAAATAAATAAATAAATAAATAAAAGACTGTTATCCCTGGCTTAATTTTAAGTCATGACTATGAAATGTACAGTTTGAATATCCAGCATATTAGTAAATATACAACAAAGGATATTATAAACATTTTTTTTTTTTAGAGAACAGTTAAGAAGAGGTCACTTTTTAAATGTATGCAGATATTTAAACTATGTGAAGAGAAGAGATTTTTTTTTTTTTTTACAAAATCTGAACACTTCTTTATGTGTTTATATGAAGTCAGTATATTCTTTCTCCAAAGCGACTGCAGCATGGCTACTAACACAGCTTCTCATTTGGCACCTCAGTTGACCACTCTAATTTCAAGGCAGTCGTGACATCCAGAATATGTCAATATACATGTATTTCTCATTCATCCACAAATTAAAGCAATGAAGGAGACCTTCATATTAAGAGAAATAATTTTTCTTTCTTCATCCATTCGCCTGCTGTAACATTTATATTCCTCCCTCTCAGTGTCAAAATGCAAATCCTTCATAAAAACAAAACTATAACAGCAAAGTTAATTACCAATTTTTTTTTCAATATCATTAAATTCGATTTCAGAAAAACGAATGTATGATCTTAGAACTTAGTTAGTGAAATAAAACTTTTACGTGCGAAATATCTCACTTATAACAGCAGGATAGATATATTGTAATAAGATTGTTTAGCTCCAATTGTAGAATTTTTTTTTTAAAAAAAATTTACCTCACAATTTAGTACGTGTATTCATCTATAAGTAATCGCTATGCAAATGTTAAGTTACTAAAATTAAACATCTGGTTACTCAAGAAAAGTAACTCTTACATAAGGAGTTATCCCCCTTAATTATAAAAAGACGTCAGTTCTAATGATATGATTTGTTGGGTATTGTTACTTCCTGTCAGTCTTATTAACACATGTACAGATATACCTGATAAAATTGCTGATCTGGTTATGCAACTGGAAAAAAAAAAAAAAAAAAAAAAAAAAAAAAAGTTATTTTGCATAAATTCAACTTGATAATTTACTCATTGCATATTAGACCTTTATCTTATTTTTATTCTGTCAAATGTCTCTTTGTTTGCAAGAAACATACTACTCACCAAATGCGTTTCAATCAAAATATTTTTCATTAAGGGACATGTCTTACAAAAACAAAATATCTTATTTTACGAATCTTAAACATCAGTATGTATATAAAACAATTTTGAACAGCTAGCAATTCAAAAGAAATAACTTTGATTTTATAATCATATATGAGAGGTTACTGTAAAGTTCTCAGCTAGACTGAAAAAAAAAAAAAAAAAATATTTGGTCAAATTTTGGGAAATAAGTTCGGCCAAAAACTTTTTAGCACCCACTCATAAAATCATCTTGTTAGTTTCAAGATTGTCTTTGTACTTCATACTGTGTACCTAAGTGTATAATTTATGATATTTCATGAGTTTGAATCAAGTATCAAAAAAAAAAAAAAAAAAAAAACAATATTTCCAGTATGAAAGATTTGCAATATTAAAACATTATGATGTGAATGCAAGTAATTTTGAAGGGACTTCTTGTTACATGTAAAAAGCAAAAAGTCATTCCAAGCAGTATTCAGCTTTTTATTAGAAATGAAAATTATCATCAATGAGTGAACACAGTTTATATATATATATATATATATAAAATTACATACAGAAGGATGCTGAAAAGTACTAGGTATGATCCACTTCTCAAAACATGTTTTTATATATATATGTGTGTGTGTGTGTGTGTGAGTGAGAGAGAGATGTGAGTACTGAAAAGTTCTGAGCCTGATGACCAAGAAGCCTTTCAATGAAAAAAAATATTTGTTCAGAATTTGAGAAATGGATTAGGACGAGAACTTTTCAGAAAACCTTTGATACAGATCTTTTGTAAATGTTAATGAAAATGTGGATGTTGTGACTTGGACTAAAACATTTCTTTTAATTCATCAAAAAAAAAAAAAAAAAAAAAGACTCTTCTTGATACACTATGTTTTCATGAAGAGTATTTTCAGTTAAAGAAGATTTTAACTTTGTTATATTAAATTCTGCACTGACCATACAATCAGATTTTTGTTTCAGACATTTGCTTCTCAAGAGCAAACTGTCAGAAGTTTGGAACAAAAAGTCTAGTCAATGAAAAGGTTTTGTTCCTTTCATAAAAGCTAAGGCAGTTCTACAGACAGAATATATTTTGTGAATGATTTTAAAGTATGATTATCACAGGAATAAACAGATTTGTGCTAAGGATTTAAATGTCCTCAGGGAAACAGATTTGCAATTTAAAAAAAATCATCCCTTGAAATCCTTTCCAGCAAAACTCTTGTGAAAATAAACCTTACACATGTATATCTGTGTGGATATTAACAAATATAGCTTGCTAGGAATCTAGTCACTCAAGATAAACAACTGTTTAACTCCAATGGTCTTATTTCTTTCCACTGTTGTTGTCTGTATTGTTTTTCTCAGTAGTTGTGAATCCGTTTGTGTTTTTCCATGTTTCCTCGTAAAGAGAACTGTCTGCCACAAATAGAACAGTTGAAGGGTTTTGCCCCAGTGTGAACAACTTGGTGTTGTTGCAGGTTACCACGAAGACTAAACTGCCGGCCACAAATGTCACAGTTAAATGGCTTTGTCCCTTCATGAATTGCTTGATGCTTCTTCATATTTCCGCGCAGGCTAAATTCCTTACCACAAACAGGGCAAGCAAAAGGTCGCTGACCTTCATGCATCTTTTTGTGCTTTACCATGTTGCCACGCAAATTAAACTTTTCACCACATAAATCGCAGGGATACGTTGCTGTTGTTGAAGAAGCTTCGGATAACCTTTTACCATTGTTACGACCGATACGAAGAGATGAGGCACTGGTTCCACCACCTTTATCTGTCGCATTGCTATGCAAACATAAGTCACTGTGAGACCTGCCTTCATCACCACTGTTGTTTTCACAGTCTGTTATGTGTGGGCATATCCCCCCAGCTGCACTGCCACCTCTTAACATCTCACAGTTCGGAGATGATGAAGTATGGTGTCCAATATCACCAGCAACCCTGTCACCATTCGTGCTAAGTGTGCCCCCCATGTGAGTTCGTTCATGTTCCTGCAAGTCATGAGGATTGTAAAAACCCTTCATGCACACACTGCAATGCTGGATTTCTTCATTTCGATCATTCTTTGACACTTCCGCAAAAGGGTTGCTGTAGATGTAAGATGGAAATTGTTTTTTTACATCTGGTAACCTAAAAAAAAAAAAAAAACGAAGAATACATAAGCAAAGTATATAAATATGACTATAATATTTAAAAAGGGGGAATCAATAAGTTCATAGCCTGAAACAGTTATTAACTGAAATTTGATCTAAATGATCTAAAATGTTCACTGTATGATGTTTGATCACCATAAGAGAAGGAAGGCAATTATGTTGAAGAATAAATATTTTTGTATCTGTCTATATTTCTGAGATGAGGTATTGTAATTATTTACACTATTTACATTGTCAGACTGTTGTCCTCATCTTTGTTGCCATATTCTACCCCAGAGTACAAAATAAAGAGTTCAGTTTGACATTCCAATCACCTGAAGAAAGCTGGAGTATACAACATCTGAAATGTTGTGAATGTAGCAACAAAAATGAGGACAACAGTCCAACTTTTGTGTTAAATATTTCTTTGCCATTTGCATGCAGACTCCTTGATGTAACTACTGAGGCAATAAATTTCCAAGTACATACTCAGACACTTTTACAGTCACACTGATAAATAAATATTCCAACATATATCACCTGAAGAAGGCCTGAGAGTACAACAGCCAAAATGTGAATATGACAATAAAGATGAGGACAACAGTCCAAATAATGTAAATAAACTTCATGTGGTAAATAAAAAAACAAATGTTCACAAATGCATTCCTATGTTTAACCTTTGAAATTAGAAATCAAAATTAAAACATTATCATGCTCTCTCTAAATAAAAAAAAAATTGAGTAACTTCTATGACTCATTACAATATAACGGCTGACTTTTAATTAAGAGAGAATGAATTTCCTAGACTCATACCCAACCCTCCAGTTTTGAAGTCAGAATTATCATACTAGATTAGATAGGTTACTAACCAAGGTTAGAAAGACTAGTCTACCCTATGAGTAAAAAAACTCATAGTTGTGGGTAAAGTATATCAATTCAAAGTGAACATAAACAAGTTCAGCTGAAAGCGAAACTTGGTTTACCAAGTTGTGATATGAACAAATATGCTCACTGCAGATTCACACTTTCTAAAAGAAATATTTATGAAAAAATTAATCCTACAATACTATACTAAACTACATTTCTGTCCAAATAACCCTGCATTCTACAGTGTTCCCCAACCACAATACAAATATCTACTACACCAAAAAAAAATCAAATCTCTCGACCTTTACATGGAAAACATTAGTAATGAATCACAAATAGACACTACCCTAACTCTTGAGTCTATCTATATGGAAAACCCACCTTGGCTAACAATACTGTCAACAGTTTTACTAAACCTTATCAAACATCTACCTTTTTAGAAGAAATTGATATTTTACGCAAACTATAAGCAAATATTGATGGCTCAAAAAACATTAATGAGGTCAGATGTTCAGCAGTTCTTGATGACATAATAATCAAAACTCTCTACCTGACAAATCTTCTATTTTTAGCACTAAAACCATAGACTTGGCTTTAGGCATCATAACAAACAATGAACCAGACAACTTCATAGTTTTCTCAGATTGACTATCCGTACTTAAAGAAACAAAAACAAAAACGAGCCCTTGAGCTAAAATAATTAACGGGATCAATCTTATCTGCACAAAAAAAAAAAAATCTTCTTTTGGGTACCTAGACATATCAGCATCCATAGAAATGGAAAAATTGGTATGGCAGCAAAGGAATCCCTGAAAATGAACATTTCAAAATTGTAAAACCCCTCTACAGACTTCAATGCAACTATAAATCCATCCATTCTAACCAAGTCGCAAGAGTTATGGAACTACCACCCAAACAACAAATTTTACAAAATTAAACCCATTCTAGGAGAATGGTATCATGATCTCCATCTTTCTCGGAAAGAAGGTATCATCCTATCAAAAAATCAGATGAGGACACACCCATATCACATATTCATTTCCCTTAAACATCCTCCTGAATGCACAGCATGTCAAGACAAAACATATTTTAACCTATTGTAGTGACCTTGCCACTATACATCAATGATTTTATGACATATCTAGTCTAGAGAACCTTTTTTTAAAAAGATAAAAGAAGAAACTATCCTAGCCTAGTAGAAGGAGGTTGGTCTATACCAGAAATTATAGTACTAAATAATTCCATTCTAAAGGCAAAAACTGGAGAGTGATGGAACCCATGATCAAATCAAGTTCCACTTGAAAGGAGCAAGATTTCAAGACGTTGATTGCTTGATTCATTTTCTATGGCTTATCAACCCTTTGCAGGTTATTTAAAGCCAGAAAATATTTTTAGATTGTAACAGTTTATTTTTTTTTTTGAGATAATAATGGTTTAGTGATACAATACTAATTAACCCATAATGGGGGAGAGAAGAGGTGGATTCATACCTTTCCCAAGAGTATTTACATATAAGTGAATATTACGGGAATTGAAACTTAGCACTCCAATTAACAATTTCAAGCCATTATCCATTAAACCACCAGGTATTACTAAGCAGTCTCCCATCTAGGTACTGACCAGGCTTGATGTTGCTTAACTTCACTGATCATATGGGAACTGGGGTTTGAAAGTGATGTAGATGTAAACCTCAAAACATTAAAGAAATTCAAGAGAATGCAACAAGGCAGTTGTTTGATATCCAAAAAAAGGAAAGCCATTAAAACTTGTAATTTTAAAAAAAATTTTTAATGTAAAAAACATCCATGGAAAGTGTAATCTGTAAACATCCCAATCTCGTTAATTTATTGCGAATAATGTATTATCACTTTGAAGTAGAAATTTAGTAAAAGTTTGAAAGGTCCTCATTATAATGAAAATGAAAGAAAGGGCATCAATATATCAAGAACAATAGATTAAGATCACTCCCTTCCTAAAATCTGAATCTATATGAACAAAACTGGTCATGCATAAACGCTCAAGCAAATTTTTTTTTTGGTGGGGAAGTGATGATATATTTATACTTAAGAAAAAAAAATCCATACAGTGTAACTCGGATATAAGAGAGTTGTCGGGACCGGAGAAGAAGTCTCTTATATCCGGGTTTGGTCTATTTTGTTTAGGTAAGTATGGGAACACTTCATATAACGCTTTTTACATACAGAACACTAGTTTATTTAACAGTTATAGACATAAAAAACACAGACAAAAATACATTTTCAATCAGTTTTCAAAATAATTCAAACAAAATTACTTTTTCTTAAAAAGTCAGTCATTTTTATTGTACAGAAATCTCTTTGTTAACATCATGAACACTTTCATACAGTCCGTAAATCATTTTCAATGCGCCATCAGGATTACTGCTTTTTTGCTTCAAAGTAGGCTGTCAGAGTTTCAAGCGCATTCAATGCAGCCAGAGAATTTGGCACTGGTTTGTCACTTTCAGAAACTTCAGAACTTACGCTTTCAGCATCATCATCTTCGTCAAAATCTTGATCATCCAATTTTATACCCGTGTGATGTCTGTGTCAGTCAGTTCTCCATTACATTGTGTACGGTCGTCGAAGCTGATAAATTCGTCAAAATCTGTTTGCCGTGATTTTGCCGACTTACCAACAACTTCAGCTTGCTTTTACTGCCATCCATGTTTGTGAACTGAAGCATCGTGAGTCTGTCTTTGGGAACTTTTGTCCCATTTGAATGTTAAATCGCCGCAAATCACAAAGATCCAGACAGCATGGCTTTGTAGAAAATTCCGTTTCATCACAGTTCCAAACATCTTTTGGATCATATCCAAAAAAAGTTGCGGCAAAACGTTTGTCACCCATTCGTTGGCAGAACCATGATCTGCTGGCGTTGATTCGCCGTGAAATTTTTTGAACGAAATGCTATTGGCCTGCTTCCAGCACATGAGCCAGCCATTGCTCGGTTCAAAATCAACTTCAAGATTTCTGACCAGTTGTGATGCTTTCTGCCTGATGACGTGATCGGTGACGGTAGCTCCATGAGCACATTCTTGCATAAACCATTGTGTAAGCGCCGTTAACGTCCTTGTGCACGCAATTGGCGCTTTTCGTTTGCAATTAGTGTTTCCGTTCATTTGCATGCAAGATCTGAGATCGTCTTCTTTCTTGAGAATTTTTGCTGCTGTTGAATAACTGATTCCGTACTTTTTTTTGGCTGCAGCGCCAGTTTGAGTTTCTTCACTTTGACATTGTCGATGAGCTCCAACTGTTCAGAAATGCTCAGAGTTTTTCATTGAGACGCCGACATCACTAATCGCAATGATCGCAAGCAAACGGTTTTCAGTGGTAAAATTAACAAACAGACAAACTTCTGACTCAACAGAACAGTGGGTAAAGTGAAAGTGCTGTCCAGTAAATGCAACGACAAGCAAAAGTCGGCAAAAAAATGTGGGCGGCGCTACCCTTAGACACACAAAGCAAAATCATAAGGTAGAGGGTGTCGCCTACAGACACAGATTGGACACACCGTGTCTCTAGACTAGTCAAGATTAAGTCATTGAACTTCACTCTCTAACTGACCTCTGTTTGACCGATTTACGACATTATACTGTCACTCAAAACGAACTCTCTTATATCGGGGAGGACGAGACCAGAGAAAATCTCTTATATCCGGGTTTCTCTTATATCCGGGTCTAATTTATATACATTAACACAGGCTCTAATTTGGGACCAGAGAAAATCTCTTATATCCGGGTCTAATTTATATACATTAACACAGGCTCTAATTTGGGACCAGAGAAAGTCTCTCTTATATCCGGGTTTCTCTTATATCCGGGTCTAATTTATATACATTAACACAGGCTCTAATTTGGGACCAGAGAAAATCTCTTATATCCGGGTTTCTCTTATATCCGGGTTTCTCTTATATCCGGGTCTAATTTATATACATTAACACAGGCTCTAATTTGGGACCAGAGAAAGTCTCTCTTATATCGGGTCTAATTTATATACATTAACACAGGCTCTAATTTGGGACCAGAGAAAATCTCTTATATCGGGTTTTCTCTTATATCCGGGTCTAATTTATATACATTAACACAGGCTCTAATTTGGGACCAGAAAGTCTCTCTTATATCCGGGTTTCTCTTATATCCGGGTCTAATTTATATACATTAACACAGGCTCTAATTTGGGACCAGAAAATTCTTATATCCGGGTTTCTCTTATATCCGGGTTTCTCTTATATCCGGGTTACACTGTACTATGTTTTATTTTTTGTAAAATACATAGCTTTAATTTTCCAGTGTTGGGGGCTTATATGCTTCCTATCAGAGCTGGCATCAGAAATTGGGTTATATTTGCATTTAGAAACATTTTCTTTTTAATTTTATACATGCAAGACATAAAAATTGAAAGTTGATGCAAAGTTTTTTTTTTTTTTTTTTTTTTTTAACATAAAAAAATATAGACGAAAAATAAATACCTGATTACAATCAAGGAAACTTACCATTCTGAAGAATTGGTCCCACACGTACAATCTTCAGATCTCATAGTGGACTGTGGCACTTCCATTCTTTTATTTAAAGAAGCAAATTCCTTATGACACTGAAAACAGGAAATATTGGAAGATATTGCAATAAAACATTACAATATATAATTATAATATATTTAAGAATTGAGAGAATTCTTCAAGAAATGATCACAATCTCTTCACTGAAATAAAGTCTTCAGAGAAACAAAGTAAATCAATATAGTTAAATAAAATTAGTTATGCACTTGTGTAATTTCATTGTGCCATATGCCAACTCTAGAAGTCCCAACGTCAAACAATAAATCAACAATGCTTCAAGGGAATAAATCAAGGTAAATAATAATAAAAAATACACATTTGAAATAACATTTTTATGGCAATTTTTAAAAAAAAAAAATACAAACAAATTTATGTTTAATTGGCAAAAAACATTCTGGATTTTTTCACATACAAGGCGCTGCTGAAAAGTTCTCAGCATGACTCATTTCCCCCCCAAACCAGTATGTCATTAACCAAACATAAGAACGTTTTTTTTTAGGAAGAGTTAAAGAAATTTGGGAAACGATGCGCCAAGTGTATTGAACTGCTGAAAGAATAACATGTACATTTCACAGCTCTCTGTCATCTTGGTTGGGCTGAGAATTTTTCAGCACCCCATCATATTATGGTCATTTGAAATTAACTTTTTATCAATGTTGTTATATGGATGCATTACTCAAAACACACACATATTATTACTTCAAATGTTATTTTTAGTGATTACCCATATTTGAAAAGGCACTCTGTTTTTTGTTTTTTTTAAACAGTGTTCAATTTGTCTATTGGCCTGCACATTCAAGAAAACATAATAAAGAAAAGCATGATTCAAACATGTGTCTCCCTTTGAGGGAGACATTACCGTCTGACCCAGCATGCTTTGGACCACTCAGCTGTGAGGATCTCTGTAATCAAGTGATCTAAGCACACTGGATCAAGCACTGGTTTCTCCTACAAAATGGGACTCAGGTTTGATTCATGCAAGAGGATACATTTTCTTTAAGTTTACTTAAACCAGTAGGTGAAATAAACATTCAAATACAGGTATGCACTATAAATAAAAATTCATTAATTCTTTTTATATATAATATAATATAATATCTTACTTATTATAAAACGCAGATTGTGTGTGTGTGTGTGTGTGTGTGTGTGTGTGTGTGTGTGTGTGTGTGTGTGTCTGTACGTTTATATATTGGATCGGATTTCCTACATTTTTCAACTGATGTCAACAAAACTTCACAGGACTACGTAATATTACCTTGCGGAGGTTCTGACAGCACCAAAAATTGGAAAAACAATTGTTTTTGCACGAAATCAATTTGAAAATACGATTAAGAGGCGTCACAAGAGTGAAAGGGGGACAACTCATATCGAGTTATACTTATTATAAAACTCAGGTTGTTTGTGTGTGTGTGTGTGTGTGTGTTTATATATGGGATCGGATTTCCTACATTTTTCAACCGATTTCAACAAAACTTCACTTTTTTTGGCAGGTAGTGTTTCTTATTGTCTTGCACACTTTTTTCTTTATTTTACATTCAGAATGCTTCTAAAATTCCATTTACAAGACAATTGTTTATAATAAAATTCTATTCAATCGGTAGACTCATAACAATTGAAAACAATGGTTTTTTTTGAGTTTGGGTTTGACCAATTCGTAAAAAAAAAAAAAAAAAAAATAAAAATAAAAAAATAAAAAATAATTAAGACATGTGTGTCCGTCAACCTTAAACAATAAACTTTGTCAATTTTATTTTTCAGTCTTTATGATGGTCGATACTTGATCTATCTCTTACTGTTACATCCCCGGGCAACGCCGGGTTCTACTGCTAGTATATAATATAATATATATAATATAATATAATATAATATATATATATATATATATAATATATATAAAATAATATATAATATATTATTTATATTCCTTACCTCCTACAAAAGGGAAAAATTTTAGGATGTTGAAAAAACTTAAAAAATTAATTCAGTCTTCATTGTCAGCCATATTCAATGAAAGATGTTGAAGAAAGGTTGCTGTCAAAATATACATTAATTAAAGTACATGACCCGCCAGCCAGCAAGGAACATAACACCAGCACATTCTGGAAAAACCATTTGGAATGACAACTAAAAATAGCCAAAGAGAAGATTTGTACAACTTAAAACTGAGATTCAAAAATTCAAGGATATTCTCAGCAATACCACAAGCACAATGGAACTAATAACTACTGAATGCTATCTCAACCAACAACACATTATTAGGTTGGTGCATAATTATCAGGCGTTTTTAAACAATATTTATGAAAAAAGAAACACAACAATTCAACAATAACATTTTTAAATTATTATTCTGGAGCATATGATTATTGACACACATTTTTATAACCTGAAAATAATATTTTTATTAAAAAAGTAAACAAAACAGCAATTTTTATTAACAAATAACTCACCTACAAAAATGCCTGATAATTATGCACCAACCCAATAAAAAACTGTGCAACTTATACAATAGAAAGATTGTACTACCCAATGGTAAATGTAACTTCCTAAACTTTTCTGATCACGAACTCACTGATGACCAAATAGAAGTCTTGAGTATCAGCCCAAATTGCCCCCTCTAACCTAGATACGATCCCATTCAAAAGAAAACCAAAATCAAAATACTCTACCAATCAATCCAACAACAGGAAAATTAATCAAGGTGCACCCAAACCTGAGAGATCTTCTAAAAGCAAAATGTCTGAAAAACTGTTCTCCACATAGAAAACACAATAATATCCTCACAAATAAACCTAAATCAGCCAACAAGATTATAACAAAAAATTACAATCTATCCTAGATGACATAACAAAATTCACTAAATTAAAGAAAAATCCCACAGATTCATTAAAAAAATATGTAAATAAACTTATCACAGTGAACAATGCTGAGGTTGAGAGTTTAAAAATCAAGAAAATTGTTGGTGATTATTATTATTATTATTATATGTATGGTAAAGTAAAAACCCATAAACCAGATTTTCCTCTCCAGCCTATCATATCACAAATACCTACACCTGTATACCAAACATGAAAAACCCTCGATAACATCATTTCTCCCCCCCCCCAATAATTACAGCATTACATTAACAAATGAATTTCTCCACATCTTAAAAGCAACAAATCTCATCGGTAATACTCTAGCTTCGCTTGAAGTTGAAAATCTTTTTTACCAACGTTGCAGTTGAAGAAAGAATCAACAAAATTATTGACTACATCTACGAACACTCCAATCCCTTTTCCTAAAATTTGACAAGCAACTTGTGAGTAACTATTCCATATCTGTTCCATGAAAGCTTCATTTAAGGGTCATAATGGCAACACCTACATCTAAACTAATGGTGTCAGTATGGGAAACCCTTTAGGTCCTGCTTTCTCAAACTTTTACATGTTTGTGTTTAAAACAACTGATAAACCAGAAATCTTCACAAGATATATTGATGACATTTTTTGTTTTGATAAAAAATAAGGACAAAATTATAAATTTAAAATCAACTTATTGAAAAAAAAAAAAAAAAAAAATATATATATATATCAATGCTAAAATTTACATATGAACTCATGGTTAATAACAAAATCCTATTCCTTGATGTTGGTATCAAACTAAAAAACACACCATTACAAACTATTGGTTTTTAAACTAGAAAGATATAAAATAGCAGTGATGACAAACTTCTTAAATAGAGCACACCAAAATTCCTATTCTCAAAGAATATTTCTGAGCAAAATAACTCATAAAACAAACATTAATCAGCAATAATTTTCCCAAACTACATCATTTATAAACAAATTAAATTATTCTTAGAAAAAATATACGACACCAGTAATAAAAAATACCACACACAAAAAAAAAAAAAAAAAACATTTTACTGTAACCAGATGCACAATAATTATAAACAGGATGAATTTGCTATACAAAGAATTATTAAACACCGTATTTCGTAATTCCCCCAAAACATGTAAAATTTATAATACATTACAGGAAATGGAAGATTGCAAGGCCCTAAATATCAAACAATCAAAATAACCTGATTAAATCAAAACTAGCAATGACCAATATAATATATCAATTTCAATGCCCTGTGTTGTTTGTGACAAATCAAATACCTATATCAGGCACATTACGACCTCCTTCAGAAGAAACCTTACATGTCACTTATCTGACCAGTACCATAAAAAAAAACATTTATTAATCGATATTCTACAAGAACACTTAAGGAAAATTCTGGTTGAAGATACAAGAATTCTATATAAATCTCATTATCAGAAACAGCTTGCTATTTGAGAGGCCCTATATATGAAACAATTCCCTCCTACCATCAACCTTACATTAATAGTTGAAATGGAGTGTTGAATGTTTTTCTAAAAATAAAAAATAGAAAGATGCTCACACAAATTCCAGTCACACAAGACATGCTTGGAATGAATGCGCCTTTTCAAAAAAAACAACACAAACATAAAATTTACAAGAGTCAAAACATGAGGGAAAAAAAAAACACTACCACCAGAGACAGAACACCATTGAAAATGGGTAGAAGTGGCCAAAAGCACTTGGAACAATAAAAATTATGGACAATTTTTATATTCCTTAATTCCTACAAAAGAGAAACATGTCAGGGTGCTGGAAAAACTTAATAAAAAAAAATTAATTCAATCTTCTTTGTCAGCTGTATTCGATAAAAGATGTTTGAAAGAAAGGTTTATATAGATAGATAGATAGATATAGATAGATAGATAGATTGAAAAAAGTCAATAACACTCCAAAGTACATGTGTATAACTGAACTCTTCCTTTATGGCTTTCCTGTTAAGACAATGATTGTTCAATCCATTCTTCAGCCTTCATAAGAGGTATAATTAAGAAGAAAAAGGAAAAAAACTGCACCGATATTCAGAAAACTTAAAACGGTTATATCATTACTTATTTTAGTGCATTTTACTTACAATTATTGTCACATGATGCAAGCTATATTTGAATTATTTAAAGGAATTAGCAATAAA